CCCAATTTCCCCCTGGTTAATGACAACACACAATAAGATCTGTCCCTAATTAGTTTCCCCACAGTTCAGGTCCCCCATTTTGCTGGGTTAATGTTATTTTTACAAGTTTGATTGGGTCCTGTGCAAGTTCCAGCCCCAGTTTTCTTCTTCTTGACTCAGGTCAGTGCTGGTGCTTGCCAAGGGCTTCTGGGGAGGCTGATCCCAGTGTCCCACTGGAGCCAGCCCCGGGCTCCCAGCCTGGCACTGCCCCTTTTCCTGCCAGCACAAAGGAGATTTGCCCCAGCTCTGAGATCCCCAGCTGGGGGAAATGGGGCTTCCAAAGCGGGGGAGTTTTAAACTGAGAGTTTGAAACTAAAAGAGAGGAGTCCCGCCAAAAGATCCAAGGTGTGGCAGGGTCCCCACCTGGCTGGGGACATTGGTGCCCTGCTGTCACTGTTAAAAAGGGCTGGAAGTGGGGTGAGAAACCCTGCCTGCATCCCTGCATCCCTGCCTGCATCCCTGCAGCCCTGCAGCTTTCCCTGCATCCCTGCCCCTCTCCCGGCATCCCTGCAGCTCTCCCTGCATCCCTGCAGCCCTGCAGCTCTCCCTGCAGCCCCGCCTGCATCCCCTGCTCGCCAGGGCTCCTTCCTTCCGCAGCCGCGGCGCTCGGAGCACGCCCGGGCCGGGGCAGCAGCTGCGGAGCACCCGGAGCTCGCTCGGGCAGGAAACGCGAGCGGCTCCCGCAGCTGCGGGGCTGAGATCACCGCTCACACGCGAGGGACACGTGGCACGAGCTGGTGGCACCGGGGGACACGGGAGGGACACCGGGGAGGGGACACGGGGAGGGGACAGCGGGAGGAAGGGCTGGGCTGGCAGAGCTGCCCCTGCCAGGGCACCGCGACAGGAGGGACCTGTGGGGACACGGGAGTGACCATCACAGAGCGTGGGGACACACAGGGACAGGAGAGTGACCATCACAGAACGTGGGGACAACAGAGTGACCATCACAGAGCGTGGGGACAACAGAGTGACCATCACAGAGCATGGGGACACACAGGGACAGGGGAGTGACCATCACAGAGCGTGGGGACACGGGAGTGACCATCACAGAGTGTGGGGACAACGGAGTGACCATCACAGAGCGTGGGGACACACAGGGACACAAGAGTGACCATCACAGAGCGTGGGGACACACAGGGACACAAGAGTGACCATCACAGAGCGTGGGGACAACGGAGTGACCATCACAGAGCGTGGGGACACACAGGGACACGGGAGTGACCATCACAGAGCGTGGGGACACACAGGGACACAAGAGTGACCATCACAGAGCGTGGGGACACACAGGGACACGGGAGTGACCATCACAGAGTGTGAGGACACACAGGGACAGGGGAGTGACCATCACAGAGTGTGGGGACAATGGAGTGACCATCACAGAGCATGGGGACACACAGGGACAGGGGAGTGACCATCACAGAGTGTGGGGACATAAGTGTGACCCATTGAGGTGCAGGTCCAAGTTGTGGCACTGCAGGTCTGGATTGTGGCATTGCACACCCAAAATATGGAATTTCACACCCAAAACATTGAATTGCACGTCCAAAATATGGAACTGCACACCCAAAATATGGAACTGCACACCCAAACCCTGGAATTGCACACCCAAACCATGGAACTGCACACCCTAAACATGGAATTGCACACCCAAGTCACAGCACTGCGCACTCAAACCCTCCATATCCCTGTCCCCAGGGCAAGGGGTCACACCTGTGGGGTCTCAGGCTCTGTCACCCCTGTCATGCAGCCACCATTACTTTTCCATTATTTTTCTGGGAACCTCCCAGGCCTCTCCTTTCCCCAGCCCAGGAGCTGCACCCTGAGGTCCCTGATAAGAGCTCGGGGAGATAAAGGATGCTGCTCCCCAGCCCTGGCCAGGACGTTCCCCTTCGAGAGGCCCAAATCCACCCGAGATGAGTCAGTTCCTCCGAGCTCCAGCCCCTGTTCTACATGGAACTGGAATTTTTCATTTCATTTCGGCCCTGCAGGGGAGGCAGAGCTGGAGGAGACAATGGAGGCAGCTCTGAGAAACACAAACACTCTGAAATCTAAAAATACATCCGCTGTCAGTGCCAGCCAGAGCAGCCCTGGCTGTGCTCGCTGTCAGCCCTGCAGGAGCTCTGGGATTTGGGGATTTGGGACAATTCCCTGCTGGGCCAGGCCAGGCTGGGCACCCACAGCAGCGATGGCTGGAGAGAGCACCTGGAACAGGGGATGGGCAGAGTTACAGGAGTAAAGTAGGGATTTATTAAAAATATTTAAATGTATTTATTAAAAATCCTGCACAGGACGCACCTGGGGCAGCGCAAAGCCTGGCCAGGGTACATCCAAGATGAACCTGAGTGAGAGTTTTCTCTTTTGTGAGTTTTGGTCTGTTTCCATATGGGGGTTAATTGTCTGGGGGAGACCCCAAAGGGGGGCCCCAGGGTCCTCCCAGAGCCAGCGCAGGCTCCCCAAATGGAGCAGGGGGACATCAGGGATGTCCCAAACTTGGATTTGGGCAGCACTGCCCCAGTTCCTGCTTGACAGCACCAACTCTGCCCTTGCAGCTTGTCCCTGAATTCCTCCTTGTGCCATCCCTGTCCCTGTCCCTGTCCCATTCCTATTCCTATTCCTACTCCTATTCCTATTCCTATTCCTATTCCTATTCCTATTCCTATTCCTATTCCTATTCCTGTCCCTGTTCCCATCCCGGCATGGTGGCCCTTTGGAAATCCAAGGAATTTTCACCCTGGAAATCCAACAAACCCCATCACAGCCTGGGGATGTGGAGAGGGCTCAAGTGAGGGGAGACCCCAAACCCCCAAAAAACCCCAAACCCCAGTGGGACACTCTCTCCTTTCCCCCCCTAAACCTGCTCCCCCTCGCTCCAATCCCCTGCTCGGGGGTGTTTTTAATCCTTTGGTAGCAGATCTGAGGGGACAGAGGGGTTCTGTGGTGGTTTTAACCCCTCGCCAGTGGAGCTGAGGGGACAGAGGGGTTCTGGGGTGTTTTTAACCCCTCAGCAGAGGAGGGAAGCAGAGCTGAGGGGCACAGGCCCGGCAGGGCCGCTCGTGGCCGGGGATGGGCAGCAGAGGAGGGCACAGCTGAGGGGACAGAGGAGTTCTGGGGTGTTTTGAACCCCATATCAGAGGAGGAGAGGAGAGCTGAGGGGGCAGAGGAGTTCTGGGGGGTTTTAACCCCTCGCCAGTGGAGCTGAGGGGACAGAGGGGTCCCGGGGTGTTTTTAATCCCTGGCCAGTGGAGCTGAGGGGGCAGAGGGGTTCTGGGGTGGTTTTAACCTTAGGGAAGCGGAGCTGAGGGGGCAGAGGAGTTCTGGGGTGTTTTTAACCCCATATCAGAGGAGGAGAGCAGAGCTGAGGGGGCAGAGGGGTTCTGGGGTGTTTTTAATCCCTTATCAGAGGAGAGTGGAGCTAAGGGGGCAGAGGGGTTCGGGGGTGTTTTTAATCCTTTGGTAGCAGATCTGAGGGGACAGAGGAGTTCTGTGATGTTTTTAACCCCTCAGCAGCAGAGCTGAGGGGGCAGAGGAGTTCTGGGGTGTTTTTAACCCCTCAGCAGCAGAGCTGAGGGGACAGAGGTGTTCTGGGGTGTTTTTAACCCCTCGGCAGTGAAGCTGTGGGGGAAGAGAGGTTCTGGGGTGTTTTTAATCCCTTATCAGAGGAGGGAAGCAGAGAGGAGACAGAGGGGTTCCGGGGTGTTTTTAACTGCTCGGCAGTGGAGCTGAGGGGGCAGAGGGGTCCCGGGGTGTTTTTAACCCCTTGGCAGTGGAGCTGAGGGGGCAGAGGGGTCTCGGGGTGTTTTTAATCCTTTGGTAGCAGATCTGAGGGGACAGAGGAGTTCTGTGATGTTTTTAACCCCTCAGCAGCAGAGCTGAGGGGGCAGAGGAGTTCTATGATGTTTTTAACCCCTCAGCAGCAGAGCTGAGGGGGCAGAGGAGTTCTGTGATGTTTTTAATCCCTTACCAGAGGAGGAGAGCGGAGCTGAGGGGCACAGCTCATGGCCGGGGCTGGGCAGCAGAGGAGACCCTTGGCAGTGGAGCTGAGGGGGCAGAGGGGTCTCGGGGTGTTTTTAATCCTTTGGTAGCAGATCTGAGGGGACAGAGGTGTTCTGGGGTGTTCTTAGCCCAAGGGAGCGGAGCTGAGGGGGCAGAGGGGTTCTGGGGTGGTTTTCACCTCAGGGAAGCGGAGCTGAGGGGGCAAAGGTGTTCTGGGGTGTTCTTAACCCAAGGGAGCGGAGCTGAGGGCGCAGCTCATGGCCGGGGCTGCGCTTCCCTCTGCTGGGCGGCCGCGGCTCCGCAAGGGAGCGGAGCTGAGGGGGCAAAGGTGTTCTGGGGTGTTCTTAACCCAAGGGAGCGGAGCTGAGGGGGCAAAGGTGTTCTGGGGTGTTCTTAACCCAAGGGAGCGGAGCTGAGGGGGCAAAGGTGTTCTGGGGTGTTCTTAACCCAAGGGAGCGGAGCTGAGGGGGCAAAGGTGTTCTGGGGTGTTCTTAACCCAAGGGAGCGGAGCTGAGGGGGCAAAGGTGTTCTGGGGTGTTCTTAACCCAAGGGAGCGGAGCTGAGGGCGCAGCTCATGGCCGGGGCTGCGCTTCCCTCTGCTGGGCGGCCGCGGCTCCGCTGCAAAGCCGCTCAGCCCTCACCCGAAGGCTCTGGGAGCCTTCCTTCAAAGGAAACAGAACATCCCCAGCCCTCCTGCCTGCCCTGTGCAGGAAAGGCTTCACAGACATGGTTCATAGCAATGCAGGATAAATTCATAATAAATCTCCGTGTGAGGCGGGAGAGCCCGGCCATGGAAAATTGAACTTTCCTCGCACAGAATCTGCAACAAAACTTTTTTTTTTTTCTTCTCCTGTAACATTGCCCTGTTTTGGGTCCCCTGAGGGATTTTGCGGATTTTGGGAGAATTCCGGGATTAAGCGGCGGCAGCACCTCCCGCCCGCTGGGGGGCGCCAGGCAGAACGCGCCAGGCAGGGCGCACCGGAAGCCGGAAGTACCATCAGCACCGGAAGGCGGAAGTGCAGGCGGGGCGCGATGGCGGCGACGGTGTCGGCCCTCAGCAGCCTGGGGGTGCCCGAGGCCGATGTTGGGGTGAGGCGGGGTCGGGATCGGGCGGGACGGGGGTCCCGGCTCCTCCTGGAGCTCCTGGCTGAGTGCGGGTCGTTGCAGAGCGAGGAGGAAGAGGAGGAGGAGGAGGCCGAGCCCGGCCCTTCCGCGGCGGCGGCGGCGGCGGAGCAGAGACGGGAGGAGCGGCTGCGCCGGTTCCGGGAGCTCCACATGAAGCGGGTACGGGGGACGGGACCAGAACCGAGCCCAAACACTGCCCGGCTGGGCGATCTGCAGGGCCCTGATTGCTCCGGGGGTGTTCGGTGTGGGTTCGTGCCCCGGGGGGTCGGGGTTGTTCCGTTTGGGTTCCGCGCCCCCGGGGTTTTGGGGTTTTTCTTTCTCTCTGCTCGAGTTTTGCCTGTCTGGTTCCAGTACGAGGCCTGCAAGCTGAACAGCCAGGAGGTGGTGGAGGAGGACAAGAGGCTGAAGTTGCCCCCGAACTGGGAAGCTAAAAAAGCTCGGCTGGAGTGGGAGCTGCAGGTGCAGGAGAAGAAGAAGGTAAAAAACTGCCCCGGGGGGGGCAGGGACACACTGCCAGCCTTGCACAGACTGGGTCCCTGTGCTGATTAACTCCTGTCACCCTGCACTGGGATTAGCAAGGCTAGGCTGGGCTGGGATGAGTTCAGCCAGGCCGGGCTCACCCAGGCCGGGTTTGGCTGGCCGCTGTCCCCAGGAGTGCGCCGCCAGGGGCGAGGACTACGAGCGCGTGAAGCTGTGCAGAGCCGGGATCAGCCAGGCCAGGATCACCCAGGCCAGGTTTAGCCAGACCAGGATCAGCCAGGCCGGGATCAGCCAGGCCGGGCTCACCCAGGCCAGGATCAGCCAGGCCAGGTTTAGCCAGGCCAGGATCAGCCAGGCCAGGTTCAGCCAGGCCGGGTTCAGCCAGGCTCGGGTCACCCAGGCTGGGTTTAGCCAACTGGGAAGCTAAAAAAGCTCGGCTGGAGTGGGAGCTGCAGGTGCAGGAGAAGAAGAAGGTAAAAAACTGCCCCGGGGGGGGCAGGGACACACTGCCAGCCTTGCACAGACTGGGTCCCTGGGCTGCTTCACTGCTGATTGCCACCCCAGATCCCTGTGCTGATTAGGTGGGAGCTGCAGGTGCAGGAGAAGAAGAAGGTAAAAAACTGCCCCGGGGGGCAGGGACACACTGCCAGCCTTGCACAGACTGGGTCCCTGTGCTGATTAACTCCTGTCACCCTGCACTGGGATTAGCAAGGCTAGGCTGGGCTGGGATTAGTGAGGCTGGGTTTAGCCAGGTTGGGCTGTGCAGAGCTGGGATTAGCCAGGCTGGGATTAGCCAGGCTGGGATTAGCCAGGCTGGGATCAGCCAGGCTGGGATCAGCCAGGCAGAGTTTACCAAGGCTGGAATCAGCCAGGCTGGGCTGTGTAGAGCTGGGATTAGCCAGGCCAGGTTCATCCAGGCCGGGTTCATCCAGGCCAGGATCAGCCAGGCCAGGTTCACCCAGGCCAGGATCAGCCCAGGCCAGGTTCACCCAGGCCGGGCTCACCCAGGCCAGGATCAGCCAGGCCAGGATCACCCAGGCTGGGTTTAGCCAGACCAGGATCAGCCAGGCCGGGCTCACCCAGGCCGGGTTCAGCCAGGCCGGGCTCACCCAGGCCAGGATCACCCAGGCCGGGTTCAGCCAGGCCGGGATCACCCAGGCCGGGTTCAGCCAGGCCAGGATCACCCAGGCCGGGTTTAGCCAGGCCAGGATCACCCAGGCCGGGTTCAGCCAGGCCAGGATCACCCAGGCCGGGTTTAGCCAGGCCAGGATCAGCCAGGCCAGGTTCAGCCAGGCCAGGATCACCCAGGCCGGGTTCAGCCAGACCAGGATCAGCCAGGCCGGGCTCACCCAGACCAGGATCAGCCAGGCCGGGCTCACCCAGGCCGGGTTTGGCTGGCCGCTGTCCCCAGGAGTGCGCCGCCAGGGGCGAGGACTACGAGCGCGTGAAGCTGTGCAGAGCCGGGATCAGCCAGGCCAGGATTAGCCAAGCCAGGCTCACCCAGGCCGGGCTCACCCAGGCCGGGTTTGGCTGGCCGCTGTCCCCAGGAGTGCGCCGCCAGGGGCGAGGACTACGAGCGCGTGAAGCTGCTGCAGGTGAGCGCCGAGGACGCCGAGAGGTGGGAGAGGAAGAGGAAGAGGAAGAACCCCGACCTGGGATTCTCAGGTGAGACCCCGCGCCTGGGAGGGGCTGGTGTGGGCCAGCTCTGCTGGAAAAGATAGTAAAAATGATATAAAATAGATTAAAATGATATAAAATAGATTAAAATAATGCTATAGAACAGATTAAAATAGTGCTGTAAAATAGATTAAAATAATGCTGTAAAATATATTAAAATAATGCTATAAAGTATATTAAAAGTACTATAAAATATATTGAATAATCCTATAAAATACATGAAATAATGCTGTGAAATAGATTAAAATAGTGCTGTAAAATATATTAAAATAATGCTATAAAGTATATTAAAAGTACTATAAAATATATTGAATAATCCTATAAAATACATGAAATAATGCTGTGAAATAGATTAAAATAATGCTATAGAATATATTAAAATAATGCTATAGAAGATAGAAAATAATGCTATAAAATAGATTAAAATAATGCTGTAAAATATATTAAAATAATGCTATAAAGTATATTAAAAGTACTATAAAATATATTGAATAATCCTATAAAATACATGAAATAATGCTGTGAAATAGATTAAAATAATGCTCTAGAAGATAGAAAATAATGCTATAGAAGATAGAAAATAATGCTATAAAATAGATTAAAATAATGCCATGAATATATTAAAAATGCTATAAAATATATTAAATAATGCTATAAAATACATAAAATAATGCTATAAAAATATAAAATAATGCTATAAAATATGTAAAATAATGCTATAAGGTATATAATAAATGCTATAAAGCATATCAAAATAATGTTAGGAAATACAGAAAATAATGCTAAAAAATATATAAAATCATGTTAGAAAATATGTAAAAATTATGCTATAAAATATATTAAAATAATTAACATAATGCCAGAAAATACATAAAATAATGTTATAAAATACGAAAAAATAATGCTATAAAATATACAAAAACAATGCTATAAAATACATAAAATATGTAAAAATATATAAAATCATGTTAGAAAATATGTAAAAATTATGCTATAAAATATATTAAAATAATGCTAGAAAATACATAAAATATGCTAGATTAAAATAATATAAAAAACATAAAATAAGCTAGAAAATACATAAAATAATGTTATAAAATATGAAAAAATAATGCTATAAAATATAGAAAAATAATGCTATATAATACATAAAACAACGCTAGAAAATCCATAAAATATGCTATAAAAGAATGCTATAAAATACATAAAATAAGCTAGAAAATACATAAAATAATGTTATAAAATATGAAAAATAATGCTATAAAATATAGAAAAAGAATGCTATAAAATACATAAAACAATGCTAGGAAATCCATAAAATATGCTATAAAAGAATGCTATAAAATACATAAAATAAGCTAGAAAATAGTGTTATGAAATATAAAAAAATAATGCTATAAAATAGTGCTATAAAATACATAAAATAAGCTATAAAATACATAAAATAATGTTATAAAATATGAAAAAACATTGCTATAAAATACATAAAGCAACGCTAGAAAATCCATAAAATATGCTGTAAAATAAGCTATAAAATCCATAAAATAAGCCATCAAATCCATCAAATAATGCCATAAATCCATGAAATGGCCTCCAATCCATGACATGATCCACGAATCCATGAAATGGCCACCAATCCATGACTTGATCCACCAATCCATGACGTGAGCCATAAATCCATTAAATGGCCTCCAATCCATGCCGTGATCCACCAATCCATGACATGAGCCATAAATCCATGACATGAGCCATAAATCCATGACATGAGCCACCAATCCATGACATGAGCCACCAATCCATAACATGAGCCTCCAATCCATGACATGATCCACCAATCCATGACGTGATCCACCAATCCATGACATGAGCCATAAATCCATGACATGAGCCACCAATCCATGACATGAGCCATAAATCCATGACATGAGCCATAAATCCATGAAATGGCCACCAATCCATGACATGAGCCACCAGTCCATAACATGAGCCTCCAATCCATGACATGAGCCATAAATCCATGACATGATCCACCAATCCATGCCGTGATCCACCAATCCATGAATGAGCCTCCAATCCATGACATGAGCCTCCAATCCATGACATGATCCACCAGTCCATGACATGATCCACCCACCAATCCATGACATGATCACCAATCCATGACATGATCACCAATCCATGACGATCCACCAATCCATGCCGTGATCCAGTCCGAGCTGTCCTGAGCCCGGTGCCGGTGCCGCGCGCGCGGCGCTCTCTCCCGCAGACTTCGCGGCCGCGCAGCTGCGCCAGTACCAGCGGCTCACCCGGCAGATCAGGCCCGACCTGGAGCAGTACGAGAAGCTCAAGGAGCAGTGGTGAGTGCGGGGCGGGCGCCCGGGGGGGCAGCAGCTCTGCAGTCCCTCCTGGTGCTCTCTGCTCGCGTGTCCTGCGCTTGTTAATTGCTTCACGTGGGGTAATTAAGGAGTTAATTTCTTCCAGCCTGGCGCTGCTGAGCTGGAGGAAATGCTCGCCCCATTTCTGTCATCGGGCACTTCCTCCTGCAGCAGGGTTTGGGGTTTTTCAGCTCAGTTTAAGGACTGAGGCTGCCCCAGATTTGGTATTTCGGGGGGTTCTGTGTCTTCCAGAGGCACCTGCTGGTCCCGCTGTTGGGTTTGATGTTGACATTTGTCATCTGGAGCTGGGGTTGCCACAGCTCAGTGAGGTGGGAGAAGGAGCTCAGGCAAGAACAGGGAAACCACGAGGGCACGGAGGGACAGGACAAGGGGTGAGGGCTTCAGGGTGGAACAGGGGAGATTTAGGTTGGATGTTGGGAATAAACTCTTCCCTGTGAGGGTGCTGAGGGCCTGGCAGAGATTTCCCCGAGAGCTGTGGCTGCCCCTGGATCCCTGAAGTATCCAAGGCCAGGCTGGCCAGGGCTTGGAGCAATTTGGGAGGATGGAGAGTGCAGGGGGGGCGCTGGAGGGGCTTTGAGAAGCCGCAGCACGGGCAGGGGGGTGAGCGCTGCCCCGTGTGTGCCCACAGCGGCGAGGCCCTGTACCCCACCTCGGACAGCCTCCTGCACGGCACACACGTGCCCTCCAAGGAGGGCGTGGACAGGATGGTGGCAGACCTGGAGAAGCAGTGAGTACGGGGGCAGAGGGGAGGGCAGGGGCTGGGGGTGCTGCAGGCCCGGGGCTCAGCCCCTGCTGCCCCCCAGGATCGAGAAGAGGGAGAAGTACAGCCGGAGGCGGCCCTACAACGACGACGCCGACATCGACTACATCAACGAGAGGAACGCCAAGTTCAACCAGAAGGCCGAGAGGTTCTACGGGAAATACACGGCTGAGATCAAACAGAACCTGGAGAGGGGCACGGCCGTGTGAGCCTGCCTGGCACAGCTCAGCTCAAACTGAGCCTGGGCCCTGTGAGCCTGCCTGGCACAGCTCATACCGAGCCTGGGCCCTGTGAGCCTGCCGGGCTCAGCTCGCTCCCGGCTCCTCTGTTGCATTTTCTGTTTTAAATTGTATCAGAAGTAGGCTGTAGCTGCTCTCTCAGCTCGGTGTTTGGTGTGCTGAGCACTGTGCAGAATTCAGCTGTAAATAGCTTCGGCTGCAGGAGGAGCCGGGTTCTTTCTGCCTTCCGTGCTCTAAATAAACTCTTTGGTCTAATTTGGGAGTTGGTGTCTGTTCCTCAGGTTTGTGTGCCAGCAGGATGAAGAGCAGTGACATTCCCATGGGAAGGCAGCTCGCCCCTGTCCCTCAGCAATTCCAAGGTGGGATTACCCCCCAGCAGGAATTCCAAGGGTGGGGATTGCCCCTGCAGCCGTTCCAGGGTGGGATTCCCCCATCCCTCAGCCATTCCAAGGTGGGATTCCTCCATCCCTCAGGAGTTCCAGGGTGGGATTCCCCCATCCCTCAGCCATTCCAGGGTGGGATTCCCCTGGCAGTGCAGCTGTCACCCTCCAACCCACTGTCACCTTTGGAACACTATAAATGTTGGAGTCAGAAAATCAAGTTCTTTCTTTTGTGTTCCCCTCGAGAGCAGCAGTGTCTGTGTCATCATTTCGTGCCTTATCACAACAGCCAACACCTGACACAGCCAGTGCAAAACTAAACTTTATTCACTTGAGTAAAGTTACACAAAGTAAATCCAGGTGTTCAAAGAACAGCTACTCGACCACGGTTTAGAAAAAGTTACCCACCTGCAAGTTCTAGTCCAACAAAGCAATATAAAATATTTACAAATATACACAAGATTCCCATCTGTGGCTTCTGGATCTGTGTGCTCTCTATCTGAAAGAGAAACCTAAGATTCCAAAAATTAAGACCTCAAAATAAATACTCAGTATTAACAAGTCTCCAAGCCCATCAGAAAGGCCCCTCTCTGTGCTGAGGGGGCGAGTGCTGCAGTGTCAGGGACTCCCATCAGCGTGCCCGGAACAGGGAGCTTTTGGGTGAAAAGTTCAGGAATGTTTTCTTCTCCTCCTTCTTGACAGGAACCCACTGCCCATAGGGGCTTCCCTTCCTGTCATCCTCCCTGGGTGGAGAAACCACTGGCTCCTTAGCCACAACGTGGCTCACTGGCTTCTGCAGGGCAGGCTTGGCCATTGTGTTCTGGGGAAAAAAAAAAGGCATTTCCTGTAAGAAAAGGGGTTAAAGCCAAGGGGTTTATCTGTGCTGATCACATAAATCATACAAATGGTTTCTCTCCAGCTCCTGGAATTCCTGATGCTTACACTGGGTATCAATCACTTAACACAGGAGAAATCCCTGAATGCTGAGTCTGCTTTACTGAAAATGTAACTTGAGATAAATCATGTTTTAAACCAGTTCTAGTTTTGAGTTGTTCAGATTGAGGGTGAACACGTTTGCTGAGCTGTACTCAGGGTGCTCTACCACCTCCTGCAGGGAACTCATGAAACTGCAAACATGAAATTCTTTTTGTTATCATTACTGAGACGATTATCTGGGAAAAGCTCAAGGCAGGAGGGCTGCGGTGCTGGGACTGCATCACTCACATTAGGGCTGAAGGAAATGCTCCTCTGGATGGTTGCTCTCTCCACGCCAGCCTTGCTCCCGTCCTCGGCTGCGCTCGCGGGTTGCTAAAGAAGAGCAGACACAGCTCAGGAGGGGATCCCCGACCCAGGGCAGCAGTCCTGCACTGCACAGCTGTCTGTGGAGTGGTTCAGTGTCTCATCTAAAGGAGCAGTGCAGCCCCAGAGCCGTGCCCACTCCCGGGGACCGGAGGCAGCTCGGGCCCCGTGACAGCGGAGCAGGGACGCAGCGAGGGCGGCAGCTCTGCGCGCCCGCCTCGGAGAACAACAACAAACTTATCTGCAAGGGACGCAGGCCTCTTCTTCTGTACTCTCTCAACATCTGCAATATATTGCATATGTTTATGAAGGGGATGCCTGGACCGTCTGTGGCAAACCCTCAGCAAATTCACTTCCCTTTCCAAGGGCAGCACCCGCGCCAGGTTTGCATTTACTGCGACTCGGGGTAACACACCACGACAGAACCAAACTAAAATTCACTTTAAGCTGCTCCAGTTTCTCCCTCCCTTCAATTCACAGCAGCTACAAGCCCACAAAGTCCCTTCATTACCACCAGATTTTCTTCCTCATGTCTGGAACCATAGTCATGATTTCTATAAGACAGAAATAAAGTATGTAAAATGCATTGCGTGCTTGGGTATGGAATTTCTGGGAAACAGTTTGTTGCACATGAAAAGCTTTTAACAGTTAAAAAATGCAGAAAGATTTAACCTTAAAAAAAAATTTAAAAATAACCCAAGACTATTCACTAGGTTTGGCAAGGACACTCCTGATTTTAGGTCAGAAATGCATAAGCTAGTGGAATTCATGGGAAGTATCCCATGAGGAGAACAAGTCGAAGGAACAAGTCTCCTCTCGTTCCCCAGCTGTCCCTACTGGACGCTCAGGGGATCAACCACCTCAGAGAGGGCCGCTGCTTCCAGCTTAAGGCAAAGCCTCGAGGTTTCTGGACAAGCTTTTGTTCAAGAGTTTGAGCTCGTAAGCACAACCTCCACAGGTGAACTAGAGCCCAGCCATGCAGACAAGTCCAAGAGGTGTTTACCTTTGCAGGGAGAACACTCCATACTTACCTCAGCTGACTCCGTGGCTTCCTCTCGCTCCTGCTTCTCAGTTTTGATCTCCTTGGCAGGAGCACAGATCTTCAGGCTCGCTGGCAGGACAATGTTGTCTGTTCCCAGAGCTTTGGCAGCATTGGCTTTTGCAATTTCCAGGAGTTCCCTCTTGTCTACAAGAGGAAGGAATAAAAAAATGCTTTGTGTAATGTTAAAATCCACGTGTACCTCCTCAAGCCTAAAACCTGCAGGTTTTGCATCTATGCAGTCATAAGTTGGGACTCATCTCATCACAGCCTGTCCCCCGTGCCAATTAACATTCTAAAACCAATTTTTATTAAATACATTTATCCCCACACTGAGGTTTTCCTTCACTTTGAGCTTTACAAACCAAGCAAGCAAAGCAGCACCACCCCGGTTCAAACAAAACCCCTTTTCAGGCCTCACAAACCCCAAGTACCTTTCTCGCTGAGGTGCAGAGGCGACCTGCTCCGGGAGCGCGTGCGGGAGCGGCTCCTCCAGCCGCGGTAGGCCTCGGGGTACACGGTTCTGCCGAAGCCGTAGTAGCGCCTGCCCCGGGAGCGGGAGCGGCTCCTGGAGTACGAGCGGCGGTAGCAGGCCCTGCCGCGGGACCACGAGCGGGAGCGCTGCCGGCGGTAGCGGTGCCGGTAGTGCCGGGGCCGGTAGCGGCCGCGGTAGCGCCGGGAGCCGCGGGAGCGCGAGCGGCTGCGCGAGTAGGAGCGGGAGCGGCGCCGCGAGCGCCGGGAGCCGCGCATCCGGGAGCGGGAGCGGGAGCGGGACCGGGAGCGGCTCCAGCTGCGAGAGGAGCGGCTGGAGGAGCTGCTGGAGCTGGAGCTGCGCGAGGAGCGGCTGGACGAGCGGCTGGAGGAGCGGGAGCGCGCCGGGGAGTCGCTGCGCTTGGGAGAGCCCAGCGTCAGGTCATCCATGAACTCCGTCATGTCGGCAGTGCGAGCAGCGCTGCCCTTCTGGGCACCGCCAGCCGCTGCCCCGGCTGCTGCTCTGCAGTGCCCCGTCTCCGTGCCTGGGGAGAGAGGCGAGTTGTTTACAGCAGCACCATGACACGCAGGCAGCGAGGCCGGGGATATCAAACACCCCAGCCAACTTCCAGAGACAGCTCAGCTCTGTAATTCCCTCTCCTGCCTGAAACGCCAGGAATTAAACACCCCAACAACCCCAGCCACCTTCCAGAGACAGCTCAGCTCTGCAGCTCCCTCTCCTGCACCCAGCCACAAAACCGAAACGCATTCCCTCTCCTGCCTGAAACGCCAGGAATTAAACACCCCAACAACCTCCAGACACCTTCTGGAGACAGCTCAGCTCTGCAGCTCCCTCTCCTGCACCCAGCCACAAAACCGAAGCACAAAGTTGTGTGAAAAATGAAAGGCTTCAGTTTAAACCATGAGCGGTTCTGCATGGAATTCTGGAGAGATGCAAGTCTGTGTGGCAGGAATTAAACACCCCAACAACCTCCAGACACCTTCTGGAGACAGCTCAGCTCTGCAGCTCCCTCTCCTGCACCCAGCCACAAAACCGAAGCACAAAGTTGTGTGAAAAATGAAAGGCTTCAGTTTAAACCATGAGCGGTGCTGCGTGGAATTTTGGAGAGATGTAAGTCTGTGTGAGTTTTAAGTGCAATTCCTTTTGCAGTACCTTTTTTCCTCCAAAAAGGAGGAAAATCCTGATCTTCTTGAAAAGAATTTTCAAGGTGTTTTATCTTCCATCTAGCCTAAACACAGCCCATCGTATCTACGATACAAAATAACTGCTTGCCTGCAACTCAGTACAAAGAGAAGAGTTTTCTGCTACAATTCCACACAGGTGTTTACTCCAACAAGGAGAAATTAAAGTATCTACTAAGTATAAAGCAGCTAAAACCTTGCCTGTATCTTGCCCCAAAGCTCGTGGCACACACAGATCCCAGCAGGGCATGCAACAAGCTGCTGTTAAAAACGCCCTGTGCAAAGCCGGGTGATGATTCAGTGGCCGTGACTCGCACAGGACGCAGTAATTCTTATATTAATAATTAAAATGGCTGTCCCTGGAGTGGCAGCCATTTTATGGCTACAAAGGTTACTCGGGGTAAGGATCTTATCACAAGACTTAAGCCCAGAGTTACGTAACCAGTTTACAGTTTAGGGAAGCTTGCTCTGACACGGAATTCCTATTTAGCGCTCGGTGGCAACAAACCCAACCAACCCCCGCACTGAAATCTGTCTGAAATACCAGCTGTGGGAGAATTGTCAGACGCGCTTCTCTCGCTACTACTCCAGGTAAAGTTTCACTACTTCACCTCCACGCCAGAGCCAAGGTCACACTGCCGGGACGGTAACAAGAGAAATCCCCAAGGGCCGCCTGCAATCATCGAACCCTCCTGGCCCGTGTCCTGCCCATCCATGGGGGCCCAAGGCCGGTCCCGGACCCCCGAGCCCTCAGGGCCCCTCAAGGCTCCTCACGGCCCCTCACGGTCCCTCACGGTCCCTCAGGGCCCCTCACGGTCCCTCAGGGTCCCTCAAGGCCCCTCACGGTCCCTCAGGGCTCCTCACGGCCCCCAGGGCCCCTCACGGTCCCCCAGGGCCCCTCACGGTCCCTCAGGGCCCCTCAAGGCTCCTCATGGTCCCTCAGGGCCCCTCAAGGCCCCTCACGGCCCCCCAGGGCCCCTCACGGTCCCTCAAGGCCCCTCACGGTCCCTCAGGACTCCTCACGGTCCCTCACTCACCGCTGGGCGCTGCCGGGCACGCCCCGCGCTGGTTCCCCTGAGGCACCTGCGCGCTCCTGGAACAAAACAAATAAAAACCCATAAAAACCCATCCGTGACCGACCCACAGCAGCGGCCAGCGCGATCGGCCTCTCCCGCCTCTCCCCCCTCCGGCCCGCCGCCTCACCGGCTCCAGCCCGCCGGGCTGCCCCCGCACGGGTCCTGAGGGGAGAGCCCCGCTTCGTGAGTCACCCCCATAGCGCCGGGCCCGCTGCGCCAGCCGCGATCGGCGATAGAAGCGCGACAGAACCGCAGCCAGGAGCCGCCTCCTCCCGCTGCTGCCGCCGCCGCCCGCCAGCGACTGAGGGCGGCCGCAGAACCTTCCAGAACGTCCCTCCCGTTACGCAACCCGCGCGCTCGCGGCGCACGCGCCGGCCCCGCCTCCCCCCCCGTCCCAAATACGAACGGCGGCCCCGCCCCGGCGCTCGGGACGCGCCCCTCCCTCCGTCCGGGGGTGCAGTGACCGGGGTGCGGGATGCAGGGACCGGGGTGCGGGGTGCAGGGACCGGGGATGCAGTGACCGGGGTGCGGGACCGGGGTGCAGTGACCGGGGTGCCCCGCTGGCAGCCGCCGCTGGCCGTGGCCGCTCCGCAGAGCCGCCGTTCCCTCCCGCAGCCGCGGAAACATGTCCGGCTTCCTGGAGAGCCTGCGCTGCTCGGAGTGCGTGGACTGGGGCGAGAAGCGCAACGCCATCGCCTCGGTGGCCGCGGGGGTGCTGGTACGGCCCGGCCCGCTCGGGATTTTGGGGTTCTTTGGGGTTTTCTGTCCCAAGATAAAAACGATGGGAGGTTTGGGAGCCTCTGCTCCCGCGCACGGCTGGAAGGATGAGAGGAAACCGAGTTCGGGCTGGATAAAAGGGGAATTCCTCCACGGGAGGGTGGTCAGGCAGCGCTGGAGTCCCTGGGAACGCTTAAAAATGTTTAAAAATGTTTTTTAAATGTTTAAAAATACGTGGATGTGGCACTTGGGGACACGGACGGTTCCTTGGTGAGCACGGTGGGCTGGGATTGTTTTCAAAGAGCTGCTCCACCCTCGGCAGCTCCAGGGAAGGAAGAGCAGGGATATTTTGTGTAGCAGCAGAGTTACAAACAAAACCTGGCCGGCTTTCCTCAGTCCTTTAAAATTTCATCATTTTTCACAGGGAGTAACCGCTGGGGTGGAAAACCCTCCCTTTGCAGCCAGCGATCCCAAACTAACCCTGGGTTGGAGGCTGCCAGCTGTTCAAATCTCCATATAAAAAACCCATTTTTATTGCCAGGACGGGCCGTGTCTTTGTTCTGAGCTCTGCCTTTTAAGCTTTAGCTGCATTTTAAACTTTAGCTGTATCTTAAGCTTTAGCTGCATTTTAAGCTTTAGCTGTATCTTAAGCTTTAGCTGTATTTTAAACTTTAGCTGCATTTTAAACTTTAGCTGTATTTTAAGCTTTAGCTGCATTTTAAGCTTTAGCAGTATTTTAAGCTTTTGTATTTTAAGCTTTATCTGCATTTTAAGCTCTTTTTCCCCCCAGTTTTTCACAGGCTGGTGGATCATCATCGACGCTGCTGTGAAATACCCTCAGGTGGAGGATTTCAAGCACTCCTACCACGCCTGCGGGGTGATTGCCACCATCGCCTTCCTCATGTGAGTGTGCAAAAGCTCTGCCACCTCAAAGTTCAGTAGTGAAAACATGGCAGGAACTGGAATTTGGGGAATAAAGGAGAATAAAAACAAAGTTACAGATGGCCCAGGTGCCTGCCTGGGCAATTTAAGGCCCAAAAGGAGCCACACTGACAAAGGATTAACCCTTAAAGGCAATAACTTGTTGCTATTTTGGATATATTGATTTATATTTTAATTTATTTATTTATATTAATTGTATTTATTTATTATTTCTATTTATTTTGCTATATTTATTTAAATGTCATTTATTTATTTTTATTAGTGTTCTTTATTTATTTTTATTTCTATTTATCTTGCTATTTTTGCTATATTTATTTAAATGTCATTTATTTATTTTTATTAGTGTTCTTTATTTCTATTTATTTTGCTATTTTTGCTATATTTATTTAAATGGGCCCCTCAGAGATGGGAGTGGGACAAAAAGGACATTTTTTTCCTTTCCAAAAGGGAAAAAAATAATTTCCAAAAAGGAAAAAATAATCCTTTTCTTGGGGATTTTGGTGTTGTTGCTGTTATGTCTCTGCAAAGAATTTCTTGAATATCTCATCCCTTTCTTGAGCTAGTTAAAAAATATCTTAAAAAAGTATCACAGTTTCCATTTAACATTGTTTAACCCAAAATTCTATTTTGTTTCATTGAGCTAGTTTTAAAAGTATCTTACATGGAATAATTTCTGGTTTGAAATTGTGTTATAACCTAAAATTAAGTGTATTCAAATTTATTAAATGATTTATTTTATCTATAGCTTATATTTTATTATTTATTTCATTTTTTAAATTATTTATTACATTTATTTATTAAATTATTTATTTTATCTATAGTTTATTTAGTTAATTTTAAAAATTATTTATTTATTTATTTACATTTATTCTATTATTTATTTTATCAATAGCTTATACTTTATTATTTATTTGTTTATTTTATTATTTAAATTATTTATTAATTTTATTTACATTTATTCAATTATTTATTTAATCTAAATTTTGTATTTCATTAAATTCATTTCAATTTATTACATTATTTATTTCATTTATGGTTGATATTTTATTCTTTATTTATTTTATTTTTTAAATTATTTCAATTAATTTCAATTTATTACACTATTTTATTTATCGTTGATATTTTATGCTTTCTTTATTTTATTTTTTAAATTATTTCAATTCATTTCAATTTATTACATTATTTATTTCATTTATGGTTGACATTTAAATATTTATTTTTTAAATTATTTCAATTCATTTCAATTTATTACACTATTTTATTTATCGTTGATATTTTATGCTTTCTTTATTTTATTTTTTAAATTATTTCAATTCATTTCAATTTATTACATTATTTATTTCATTTATGGTTGACATTTAAATATTTATTTTTTAAATTATTTCAATTCATTTCAATTTATTACACTATTTATTTCATTTATGGTTGACATTTTATTATTTATTTTATTTTTTAAATTATTCCAATTCATTTCAATTTATTACATTATTTATTTCATTTATGGTTGACATTTTATTATTTATTTTATTTGTTAAATTATTCCAATTCATTTCAATTTATTACATTATTTATTTCATTTACGGTTTATATTTTTATTATTTATTTTATTTTTTAAATTGCATATTGAATTCATTTCAATTTATTACATTATTTATTTCATTTATGATTGATATTTTCTTATTTATTTTATTTTTTAAATGGCATATTGAATTCATTTCAATTTATTACATTATTTATTTCATTTATCCTTGATATTTTCTTATTTATTTTTTTGACTTGCTTCTTGAACTTATTTAAATTTATTACATTATTTCTTTTCTTTACAGTTCATATTTTCTTATTTATTTCTTTTCTTACTTCAATTACTTATGACATTTATTCCAATTTATTCAAATCTAAAACCACTGCCAAGGAAGCAGCACCACCCTCAGCAAACCTGCCCAGAGCCCTGTGGGTGCACCTCTCCCAGGGACCCTGCAGGGCAGGGGGTCAAACCACACTCTAATGTCCCTTTAATGTCACTTTAATGTCACTTTAATGTCACTTTAATGCCACTTTAATGTCCCTTTTGGCCAGGATCAACGCGGTGTCCAACGGGCAGGTGAGGGGGGACAGCTACAGCGAGGGCTGCCTGGGCCAGACAGGTACAGGCCCCTGCTCCTTTGCATCTCCTGCAAATTTTGGGTTTGCCCAGGGGTTTTTTGGGGTTTTTTTTCCCCTGGGAAGCTGAGAGGCTTCAGAGAAAAATGAAAATAATAATAATAATAATTGTGTGATTTGTTTTGCTGGTGTTTTGTCGGGTTGGAGATTGTTTGTTGGTTTTGTGTGAATTGGTTTTGTTTATGGTTAATCAGGGGCTGAGCTGTGTTGAGTTGTGAGGTTTTGTTTGCATCTTTTAGGGGTTTTTTTGTATTTTTTAGTATAGATTTAGCATAGCATTTTTAATATAATACAGATTATAAACCAACAAATTGTCTTTTTAAGAACATAGGGTCACATTCATCATTGCTTCCAACGATGGGGGGGTTTCAGAAAATACAACAAACAGCTGCCAGCTGTGCCAGGGGGGTTTTGGGGCTGGGGGTCCCTGTTGGGGGGTACAGGACATTGTCTGTTTGTTTGGGGTACAGGACATCCCCTGTTTGTTTGGGGTACAGCACATCCCCTGTTTGTTTGGGGTACAGGACATTGTCTGTTTGTTTGGGGGTACAGGACATCCCCTGTTTGTTTGGGGGGTACAGGACATTCCCTGTTTGGGGTACAGGACATTCCCTGTTTGTCTGGGGGTACAGGACATTTCCCTGTTTGGGGGTACAGGACATCCCCTGTTTGTTTGGGGGGTACAGGACATCCCCTGTTTGGGGGTACAGCTGCCAGCTGTGCCAGGGGGGTTTTGGGGCTGGGGGTCTCTGTTTGGGGGTACAGGACATCCCCTGTTTGTTTGGGGGGTACAGGACATTCCCTGTTTGTCTGGGGGTACAGGACATTTCCCTGTTTGGGGGCACAGGACATCCCCTGTTTGTTTGGGGGTACAGCACACCCCCTGTTTGTTTTGGGGTACAGCACACCCCCTGTTGGGGTACAGCACATCCCCATCCCATTGCAGGAGCTCGGATCTGGCTCTTCATTGGCTTCATGATGGCTTTTGGGTCCCTCATTGCCTCCATGTGGATCCTCTTTGGGGGCTACGTGGTTAAAGGTAAGAGCTGACCCCATTTTTGGAACTTTAAGGTGTTTTCAATGATTGCTGGATTTTAGAATTTGTGTTTAGAGAGTTTCTAGGCAGGCCCAGTTTGAGTATTTTGCCCTACACTCCACTCTCCCATTTTATTACTGATATTGGGATGGATTTGATCTATTTCTAAGCACAAACTTCCTCTAAAAACCCAGCTGGGAACTCCATGGATATAATTAACTGCTGCAGTTTTAAGGGAATAATTCCCTGGGTGAACACTTATTCCCAGAATACAAATTACTGAGCTCCTGCAGATTGCTCCCAAAGCCTCTCTGCTAAATTAGCACAAGGGAAAACGACATGTCAGAAATGGGATATGCTTGAAAATGACTTAAAAAAAAAAAATTATGGGGATTTTTTTTTCTCTTAGAAAAACCAGTGGTGTACCCAGGAATAGCAGTGTTTTTCCAGAATGCATTCATCTTTTTTGGGTAAGACTGACCTCTTTTATTTGTTCACCATTTAATTTTAATGCTGCAAAACTGAAACTTGCTGTGATCTGGTTGCTCCTAAAGTCCTGTTTTGTAAGCAGACCTGTGTGAATAAACTGGGATGTGCCTGCACAGGAACTGGGTTCACAAACAGCCCTTGAAACCCTGTGTTTAGATAAAAGGAGTTTGATTTGTGCTGTCCCTTTGCTGTGCTCCCACAGGGGCCTGGTGTTCAAGTTTGGTCGCACGGAGGATTTGTGGCAGTGAACCCCCCTGGAGTGCCCTGGGCTTTAGCTGCACCCCAAAAGTTTTGTAAAACCATTTTGTAAAGCTTCCATTGTGTCTGAAGAGAAATCAAGGAAAGCTGAAAGCACTAAATGCAGCTCTTTTCTGGTTGTTTTTTTTTACTCTTGTACGTCCACTTCAGTGGTGTGGTGTTTTTGAGAAATGTAAAATTGCTCCAAACAAAAGTGGAGTCACTTTTCTAAAATGATGTTTGTTACAAATAAAAGGAGAGTGGAATATGGATGCATTTAACCAGCTCTTTCTATGATGTTTTTACAATCCAAGACTTACTAAAACTGCATTTAAACAACCTTTTAACAGATATTTATTAAATATTTCCTATATCTGAGCAATAGAACCATTTCTTCAATTTCAAACCTTGCTGGCGTGTGGCTTTTCTTGTGTAATTCAGAACTGTGGCGGTTTGGGATTTTTTCTTTCCCCCCCATCCCTGAATATTTCCTTTATCCTGTGGTGATAAAGAGGAAGTAAGGACTCACAGTTGTGTGTGGAAGCTTTGGGCAGCTGCTGAACTCCTGCTGGCTCTGTGGGAGCTGGGAACAAGGAGAACTGGCCCTTCCTGTGCAAGCCTGCATTCCTTGGGAGCTGCCTTCCTCTGGGATCTGCTCATCAGGGAGGGAAGGAGGCCAGGGAGCCTCATCAAAGGGCTCAGCTCCCTCACTCACTGCTCACAGGGTGCTGAAGGAAGGAAAAGAGCCACATTTTCACTCCTTTATTAGCTAAGCACTGCTCAAAGATTTTCTGTGTCAACTATTTTGGAAAGGAAGAAACGCTGAGGATCACAATCCATTTAAAATCCAGGGTGCACTGGCAGGGAATCCTCTGTCCCCCAAGTCCCTGCACTTCCAGAATGGGGTGCTGGCACTGTGCTGTGCCCTCCCAGCCACTGCCCTGAGCTCTGGCTGTGTTTTACACTTGGCAGCAAACCCCAGGGGTTTCAGGAACACCACCCACAGCTGAACTTTGGCCATCAGAACCTCCCAACATGCAGGTTTTTCCAGGAGTTCAGGCTGGCAGGATGCAGAGTTCTGGCCCTGCTCCAGCTCACTCATCAAATCCTGGCTCGTCAAGGCCTTCAGCAGAATCAATTCAGCTTAAAAACTTGAGTGCTTTGCTAGATAAGAAGTGCTCCTTGAGAAAATGACACTTTCAAATCCATCATTTTGCCTTGTAAACTCGGGAGCTAAAAATAGTTTAATGTTTCCAAGCATTTGGATTGATAAGCCACGAATGCAGACAACTTTTTTGCACATATCTTCTAAAAAAATATTTAAGGTAAGGCAAACAAAGCAGAAAAGCTGAATGCACCTGAAGTTTGCACCTGTGAATTCACACTCTGTATCTTTCAAGAACAACTGGAACAGTTTAGTTTTTGAGTGTCCATTGGAGTGGCTTTTGTGGGCCTGAGAATTGGAATTTCAATCTCTGAACCCATCATAGCTGTTCAGTTTTTCTGATGATAAAGAGGAAAATCTTATCTTGGTCCTGCCTGTCAGCTGGGATCCTCCACTCAAAATCCAACAGACAAGTGGGGAAACTGTGAACACAAACATTCTTGTATCAGAACATATCAAATCATCACAGGAAAAACCCCCAAACCAAGGGAAATGCTGATTAAAAGCTTATTTTCACCCATTTGTAATTCAGATACAGCCTCACATCAGCACCTAAGGGTGCCCAAGGACTGTTTGTGCACCAAAATGTGCTGGGAAAAGGAATAACCCTTTTCCCCCCATATTTTTAATTCAAATACATGGAGTTCTTCATCAAGGTGCAAAATGAACTCCCCCACAGGGAATCTGAAATCATTTGGAAACTCACCTCCCAGTAAAACTGGTCATCAAAGTACTTGGAGACATGCACTGCTTTCAGCAGTTTGATGTTTAAGATTAAACCTTTGGATAAAAGAGAGAGATCCAAAACAAACATAAAACACCAGGGCAAGGGGGAGATAGTGTGTAACAGGAGTTTCTTGGCAACATTTATCCCAATGTAACAGATCAAAACACAAATTCAGACCTAAATCCTCCAGCAGAGCCCCCCTGACTCGAGCTGGCCTTAAATACAAAAAGAGGCTTGGAGGATCAAGGCTTGGGGTACTAAAAATGAATTGCTTTAGGTTAAACCCCATTAAACAGCTGCTAAATTATGAAAATACATCAAAATGGTGAGTTTCTTGCAGGAGAAGTGCTCGTTTATTAAAAACAACCTGGCTTATCAGCACTGTTAGTTTGGGATCCCTGATGGGAATCTCTAGATTTCTGAGCAGTTGGTTAAACACTGAAGGTTTGGTTATTTCAGCTGGATGTTTTCTAAAGATCTATTCCTTCTTTACACTTAAAGTAATGCAAAAGTTTAAATAAATTAAAACACTCTAAAAATCATTGTAGGCTGTGTTTCCCAGCAATTTTCACTGGCCATTTCTCTGTTGCTCCACACAGAATTAGGGGCTGGGGAAAAGCAGCAGCTGCCACAAAGCAGAGCATTCCATGGCTGCTGCTCCCAAAGCAGCAAAAAGTCTCAAAAATCCCAAAATCTTTTGATCAAAGGGCTGCAGCTGGGCTGAGGCAGCTCCTGATGTTATTGAAACTTTGCACATTTGCTCCAAATGGCCTAAAAAGTGACAAGCCCCAGATTGGGGCATCTTCTGTCACCCAAAAGTGGAAGTGTTTTCATCTTCACACCTGTCCTGTCTGCAAGGTGAAGGCAGCTGGAAAACCTTGGTTAAATTCAAGTTTCAGCACTGAAAGAATGGTGCTGCTGGGTTATTTCTGTGCAAAACAGCTCTGGCTGGGAAGAGTCCCACATTTCCATTTATCCCACAAGTGATTTAGCCATAGAAACTTGCTCCAAGGAAACAAAGGGATCCCTGGGATGTTTCAGTACTGACCTGTAATCAAACCTGTTATCAAGGCAGTGCTGATGGTCTGGCAGTAGGCACCAATACAAAACAAGGCAGTGTAACCCAGACTGAAAAGCAAAAAAAGTGTTTCACCTTTTATTTAGCAGTACCACTGTGAATGAATCTGCAGCTATCAAAATCTCTCCTGGAAGCTGTAATTCTCAAATCTGCAGCTGCAGTGAGATGTTTCAGGAGCATACCTAAATGCAGCCTTCAGAGGATTTATTCTGTCCATCTTTTCATATTAAAACCTCATTAAATTTGTTTCAATAAGAACATGATGAGAAGTGTCAGGCCCTCATGCTGCACTTTCATTTCTCCCTCCCTCCTGAGCTCCCAAAAACATCCCAAACCCTAAAGTGAGTCTTGGAGGGAGGCACATGCCCAGCCTTCATCTCCTGTCTGCTGTGTTTAACAAAAACAAAAAGGGAGACAGAAAACAGGACCCAAAGTCTGCTCAACTCTCAAATTCCTTTTTACTGACTTTTTTTTTTGGTCTTCAGGCTTATCTTGGGTTACCTGATAGAAAACAATACCTCTGTTATGACATTCAGGCTCTCTGGATGTCTGACAGCTCTTCTCAGGGCACACTGCAGTGATGATTATTTATTTCATTATTTAATACAAGAATTGATGTACCTGGATAATTCATTCCATCGTGTCCCAATCCCATCTTCTACAACACGGAGAACAACAGCGGCCACAGCTCCAAGCACAGCAGGCAAACCAAAAGTGAAATGAACTCCAGAAGTATCCTGGAGCTTCAAAGCAGGATTCAAGCACCTCTGGGAAGAAGAAAAGGTTTATCTGACATGAAGAAACACAAGTTGTTAACTGCAGATCAGCTGTTGCAGACCTAGAGGATGAATTTGCTCTCACGAGCTGCAATCCTGCACTCTGCTCAAAACACCTCAGGTTTCCTAGGTTGGAAAAGAAGTTTCCCTTGGGGTATCCTGCACTGGAAAATAAAAATTTACACAGCTTATCCAAGAACCATTTAGGGGATTGAGCATTACCTGCAAACAGTGAGATCCCAGGACGGTGATGACACTGCCCAGCAGCCCCAAAATCATGGCAATCCAAGGCTGCTGGATGAGCTCTGCTGAGTAACTGACAGCCACCCCTCCAGCCAGCACTGCACTGCGGATGTGAGCCTGCAAAAACAGCACCAGGGCCTTCTCACAGGGCTTGCAGGGACAGCACAAGGGGCAGTGGCTTTAAACTGGAACAGGGAAGGTGCAGATTCAGTATTGGGAAGGAATTGTTCCTTGTGAGGGTGGGCAGGACCTGGCAGAGGTGCCCAGAGCAGCTGGGGCTGCCCCTGCATCCCTGGCAGTGCCCAAGGGCAGGCTGGACAGGGCTGGGAGCACCTGGGACAGTGGGAGGTGTCCCCTTGGCAGGGGGTGGAATGAGGTGATCTTTGATGCCCCTTCCCATCCAAACCCCTCTGTGAGTCTGTGGCTGTCACACCCTGGACAAGGTTTCAGTTCCAGTGTGTTCCTGAGGGTACCACAAAATCTCTTTGAACACAAAAACCCCACGCAGGGTTTCCCCACGCCCTTACCATTCTGAATTTGCCATCCTTGGAGGTCAGAGCAGACAACATGAAGGCAGCCACAGCACTCACTGCAAGGGCCAGGTAAGTGTTGAGCACTACTTTCTCCTTGGAGTGGACCAGGATAGAATTGAAGCTCGGCCAGAACACCCAGACAAACACAGTGCCTTGGGGACAAGGAAAGAGACCCTCAGGAGCTGCTCTGAACCACAGGGAACCCATCACTGCCTGTCTCTGAGGGCTCCAGCCCACAGTGTGCATCCCAAACCCTTCCCAAAGCAGAGCCTGCCCCAGGATGGCTGCCAGTGAGGAGCTGTCAGTGCCACAGCTCCATGGCCACACAGGCTCCTCTAACAGGAATGAAAACAGGTTCTTCTGCTTCTAGAGGTCAGCGCTGGGGAAGCCCAGCCTCCCTGGAGGAGCGCCCTGCCTGGCAGGATGCATTCCTCCTCACCTGCCTGGGGCAGCACTGCACAGCCCGAATTCCAGCCAGCAGAGGGACAGAGGGACCTCGGTGGGACCTCAGCACCGCAGGCTGCTCCCACCCGGCACGGGCTGTGCACAGACTCCAACACCACCGCGGGCCAGCAGCTCCTCTGGCATTCCAGATGTTGTGTTTTGTTTCCAGCCCGCTCCCACCACTGATGGTGGGTTCCCCAACCCCCAGATGTACCAGACCCTCGTGCAATCCACCTGACAGTGATATTTGGTGTGTTCTTGTCCAAGACCCCTGACAAGTGACACAGGCATTGTCACTGTGAGGCACAAATCCAGTTTCCAGCAGCCCTGGCAGGCACTGGTTTTGTACCAGCTTGTCTTGGCTCTGTGAAATCCAGTTTCCATTGCTAATATCCATGATTTCAGTGCACCAAGGCTGAGATAACCCTGCCTCAGACAGG